TACTACTATATATATATATATATATATATATATATATATATATATATATTCATGTGCCCAGCTAGTTAGGTGTATGTGCCTGCAGAGTGGTTCAACATTATGATGTTTTGCTGTTCAGATTTGACAAAATATTGAAGAAGGAGATACCAAGTACAGCGGTTTACGAGGATGACAAGGTATTGTCTATTTTCTTTGGTTTGTAGTTTTCTTAACAAAAGATGGTCTCTAGACTTTGTAGGACTTTTGGCATCATTCTAATGCATAAAAATATACTGGTGACTGTCTACTTTGGCTTAGGAATATGAAATTTGGGAAGAGTATTGATCCTTCTCAAACAAATAGTGCCATCATGTGGAATCATAAGCTCTTGTTGTTTTTGCTGCATGTCAGTTCGATTTAAGCTATTGAAATCATCAAAGGTTTAGGGCTGAAAGTAGGTCATTTTAATAGAAGACGAGTTGGCTTGGTGCACTGTTTTCTTGGAATAATTGCATAGTTATCCCATTATTATTATTTTTATTGAGAACACAAATGACACACAAATCCATTAGATTAGTTTGTGAGGGAGATTATTTAATTTCCTTAAGATTAGAATTTGAATATTCTTTGACATCAATGCAGGCAACTCAGTGATTTATTTGTCAGTATCAAAAAAAAAAAAACTCAGTGATGTATTTGAGTTTTAACCTGGTAACCTTGAACCATTATCCATAATGAACTTATCATAAGAGGGCTATTATTAATGTACAAATCTAAAGAAGTGTGTTCTGGAACATAGTGAAGCCACTCGATGATGCTTTTTGTTATGTGAACTATAGAGGAATCTACAAGTGCAATCGCAGAGAGACAGAGATTTGGACCTTATTTCTTGATGATGGGATATGTTTGGCAGGTTTATGCATTTAGGGACGTTTCCCCACAGGCTCCGACACATATTTTGATCATCCCTAAAGTGAAGGACGGATTGCTTGGCCTTTCGAAGGTTCCTCTCTTTCTTTCATATGAAAAACTGAACCAGCTACTTCTACTTACCTGCTCAGATGCTAATGGCATCCCTTATGTCCAGTTCATCCATTTTGCTTTATCAACTGAAATGAAGAGTATGATGTTTATTGTTTAATGTTATATTTTATTCCTCTTGCAGGCAGAAGTGAGGCACATTGAAATTCTCGGACACCTCTTGTACACCGCCAAAGTCATTGCTAAACAAGAAGGACTTGACGATGGCTTCAGGATAGTCATCAATGATGGGCCAGCTGGATGTATCTCTCTCTCCTTTTCTCGCTATATTTATAAATACTGGCTTAACACACAAGTTCTCTCTCTATACATATATATACCTCATGTATATAAATATATAATTCAACTTTTATGTGTGCCACTACTGGCTTAACTCTCTCTCTCTCTGTTATGACCATTTTGTGATTTTCAAACTATTTTTGCAGGTCAATCTGTGTATCATTTGCACATTCATCTTCTTGGGGGAAGGCAGATGAACTGGCCACCAGGTTAATGTGGACTTTTGAGTAGAATTTTCTTTTCGTGGACATTAAAGTTTGTCTTTGATGCATGCTTACGTGCGAAACTAGCAATTTTATATTCGAGCATAAGGTAGTCAATATATACCGATAAGCAAGAAACAGACATTAGTTTATGAGTTTTGAGTATAATTGGCTTAATGGGTTGATCTAACCATACACGTCTTTGCTTACTTTGAAGGAAATTTTAGTATTAAGTATTAAGTATTCTATTCGTGTTCTGAAGCTTCCTGCAATGCTTTAACCTTACATGAACCATCAGATGTCAACCATGGATGCCCGCTGTTTGTCAAATTTTTGACAGACTTGAGGATTTGTCAAATTTTTGACAGACATTGAATATAAGAAAATGCATCCCCGCCACCCCTGTTAGCATTAGGATGGCTGGGGTGGTGTTGAAGGACTATAGGAGACTTCAGCAGGGTCATTGTTTATGAACCCTAAAGAGTAAATATATTGGTTTAGGGTTCTTAACTCTCTCTCTCTCTCTCTCTCTCTCTCTCTCTCTCTCTCTCATAATGCAGCTCTCCCATTGTGTTTATATATGGGAAGGTTGGCTGTTGAACAAGGGAAGAATAATGGTTACTTCATAATGCAACTTTATGGGAATAGATTCTTCTGTCTCAGTTTAGGAAATAAGGGACTAATTTATTTGCTATTTATGATATCATAAAAGGCTTTTTGGTTATTTTCCACATTTATAGGGGGAACCGTTTGTAGGAGTAACCTATTGGAATTAAAGAATTCGAAATATTGCAAATTCGAAATCAAACAAGGTTTACTGTAACCTGAATTTTGAAATTTTGGATATCAAACGCACACCCTAGGGTGCGTTTACTTGAAGCTGGAAATAAGTTAGAAGTTCTGAAATTAGAATGTCTAATTTCGGATGCCTGGTAATAAAAAATATTGTGTTTGATAACCTGTTTGGCATTTGGGGTTTTCTGTATCATGTATTTGATCGGATCCCTTCTAAAACCTCGAAGTTTTGGAAATTAGTCATTTTTAGTTTGTTCATTAAAAGTATCATCGGATACCTTCTACAATCTCGAAGTTTTGGAAATTAGTCATTTTTAATTTGTTCATTAAAAATTTAAAAGTATCATTAGATCCCTTCTAAAACCTGGAAGTTTTGGAAATTAGTCATTTTTAATTTGTTCATCAAAAGTATCATAACTGAAACAGTGATAATCGGTCCCTTATTGTATGACCAGGCAAATAGAAGCGAGTGTGGTTGTAACCATAAACAATCAAATTAAAATTAAGGTGCACCTCCAAATTTTATTAATAAAATTTTAAACTCTAAAAATGGTTCAAATCAAGTAGATCTAGAAACACATGAAAATCTTGAAAATGAACGGTCCAGATAATGTATTACAAAATACACTATTTTTAGACTGGAAATCTTTTATGGGTGCGGTTTGTATAGAGCCTAGGCTCTAAAGAATCAAATTAAAGCCTATCTTTAAATAATGTCGAGAAATACGGTTTTAATATTGAAAATCTTTGTAATAGCTTTAAAATATATTTTCATCTTTATTTAGCTTCAAAAATAGTGTACATCGACATATCTATAAAAGCTTGAAAATCTTGAAAATTGACGGTGCAAATGCGTTATAAAAACTACTATTTTCAAAACTTGAAATCTATTTTTTTTTCATGTTCATGCATCTTGATGTTGAAATGATCAATTTGAAGATATTTGGGCATCAAAACAACATCTTTCTAATAAAAGTTTTGAGGTAAGCTCAAGTTTGATTGTTTAGAGCCTCAGTTCTATATAAACTTTTTCCATTATACATATATATACACATTTTGATGTCTAGATGATCAATTAAAGGGGGTTTATAACATAAAAACACCATTTAGTAATGGTTTTTGTAGGTGTACCTTAATTCTACCTTTTAAGGTTGCAATTTTATATAAATTTTTTCTAGAGGCTGCCGGAATGAGGCAGAGGGAGACTGCTGAGAACGAGAAGAGAAAGAATGGCTGTACTTGCTTGAGGAGAGAGAGAACTGAGAGCACTGTTTCAAGACTCGACCGTGTTTAAAGACTCGACCGAGTCCATTCTGAGGAAGTTGCCATTGGCTTCGCTGAGCCAAGTTCCAAAGGACAACTCGGCCCTGTTAAAATACGTTAAAAAGCCATTAATTTTGTGAAAATATCATTTATTATTTAGGAAGAAATTTTCGTGTGAATATATGGTTTTATAATTTTTGGGAAGTTTCATTATTGCGTGTTCTTGTTTTGTTTGTTCTTAAGTGTAATCAAATTATTCACTAATTCAGCTTTTATATACTTTTTTTTTTTTTATGTTTATAGACGTTAACTCATCTATTACTTATTTGGTTTTTTTTTTTTGTGCTGATTATTAATTATTTTTAACAATAGTCTTGCATTTTTATGAATGTTTTTGCCTTTTTTGACATGTTCATTAGTGTCCAAGGCCCGAGCGAGTTTGAAAAAGCTTAGTGAGAGAGAGCAAGAAGCAAAGATAGAGCTCTCTGATGAGGTTAGAGAGAGAGAACTCTCTCATGGATTTCTTTAATACGAAAGTGCTTCGGGAGCTAAAATTAGGCGGTTTAAATCGAAACCGTTTGGTTAGATTGGAAGCGGTCACCGGTTCTGATTTTGGTTGTTTTTGTAGTCCAATTGGATATTTTTTAAAAAAATTAAAAATATATAAATATAAAAATAAATTTATTTGTAATACGCTTTTGAATGTTTTTCATCATTTTGGTAAAGATTGAAAAATGTTTTGACTATTAATACTTATGTTTATATTTTTCTATATTTTTTGAAAATTTTCAAAAATATATTTGGGCAAAAATCGATTTTTTAAAAAGTTTGGGCGGATGGCTTTTATAAAAAGCATAAATTGATTTTTTAAAATCTATTTTTTTCATAATTCTCAGCTTCATTTGAATGTGTTTTATTTAATCATATTTTAAATATATTTTTCATATTTTTTAGATTTATTTGACAGGCCGAAACTTACCCAGTTAGGCTAGTTGAACCATCAGGTTTATCAGTTACTCGGTACAAGACCTTGACCAGTTTCCGAGACCGATTCGATTTTTCGAACATAGTTAGGTATTTCGGTTCCCTGTGAATATAGGGGTGCCAAACCGTCCTAAAAAAAACCAATAAAGTGCAATTTCAAAGTAGACCTGAACACACTTTTTTTTCTCTCTCTAACTCAAGATTCAAAATATTTCAATTTAAATGAAACTGGCGACCATGTTGTCATCCTTGAATATACCTCCTCTCTCTCTCTCTCTCTCTCTCTAGAAGATTCCACATTTGCAGTTTTACGATCATTAAATCTCCATCTCAAACAATGTCATAGCTCTGGAGGAGCCCACAAAACGCGTCTGGTTTAACAATTTAACTAATTTATTCAATAGAAAAGAGAAGAGATGGATTGACAAGTGTTTATTTTGGTTATTATTGCTACTATTGTCTCATCTTCAATGCACACCATTTGGAATGTTGACCTTTGCCTTTGAAGAGAGAGAAAGAGAAGTCAGAGGCGCCCTCATTGTAGAATAAGCCTTCACAAACAAACAAACCAATGGAAACTCAATAAATTTCCTGGTACTTAACCTCTCTCTCTCTATCTCTTTAAATAAGCACCCTAATTCTTGGGAAGCCAGTTATCATCTACGAGGGTTTCTCTCTCTCTCTCTCTCTCTTCATCTCCTTGTCCAAAGTTCAACAGTTTCAGGTATGCTTTTGCAAAAAACACACAATCAATCAATCATCTCTCTCTCTCTCTCTCTCTCTCTCTCTGTCTCTCTCTCTCTCTCATGTCCAAAGTTCAACAGTTTCAGGTATATCTTTACAAAAACATAAAATCATTCAATCACCCATGAACACCTCTCCTCTCACTCTCTCTCTCGCTCTCTCTCTCTCTCTAAAGGCTAAAAATTTCATATTATGAGTGACCAATTCTTTCATAAAAAGCATCATTTCAAAGCGATTCATCAAGAAGCAAACTAAAAATCACCGATATGCATATGTTTGAGAGAGAGAGAGAGAGAGAGAGGAGTTTCAGTCTATTGAAAACAAAAGGGGTTCTTATTATGGGGAAGAGAGAGGGAGAGAGATCTTTCAGTTTTATGTTTACTGCTCGAATGATTTGAGAGTTTTAGACTGATTCTTACACTTCCTCATTCTTAAATTCAATTTTTTATTTGTTGGTAGATGTTAAATTCAATGGTACAATTAAGCATCATTTTCCTTCTATTCTTTCCCCATATCAATACCTGATTCTCTGTCTCGCTCTCTAGATTGAAGCCCGAGCCATGAGTTTGACCGATATCGTCCCTAAGGAAAGCTGCGTCGAAAAACACTTGAGTGATGTCGTTCCTGAGGAAAGCTGCATCGAAAAGTACTGGAATTCTTCTCTTCCTGCTGTGAATTCAATGAAGAGATCGCCATCAGCTGATTCCTTATCATCAAGCATCAATGGAGCAAGGACTTGTGTTTGCTCACCCACAAAACACCCTGGCTCCTTTCGATGCCGGTACCATCGCTCCTCTCTCTCTTCTTCTTCGTCTTCTCCTTCCATGCCTCCCCCTCATCCCAGACACTCAGAATCACAAAAGTCTTCAGTAGAAGCTAAGTGATCCCATGAATTAATTACTATGCACAAAGAGTTGCAGTGATGTGAGTTGGGTGTGCCTCTTTCTAGAGAGTCTTGAGTACAATGCGCACAAAGATTTACTCTCTCTCTCTCTATCTCTCTCTGTGACATTATAATTTCCTTTTTGTGGTTTCAAAAATGTGATAATGATTTGTGTAGATATCAAGTTGAGGAAATTAAGGTTGAGACTTCAGTCTCCTGTAGTTTGTACCTAGAGATCTTGTGAAAAGAACAATAAAAGTATCCCCTTTTGTTTTGTACCCTTCGAGGCCTCTGAAGAAATAGAGAAAAGGGTCCCCTTTCTCTCTCTCTTGGTGCTTTCACGTTTATGATGAATGGCGTCGAATGCAATGCAATGCAATTGTGGTGCAACCTAACACAGATGTGACCGCACACCATGCTTCCAAGAAGCAACAAACATAACTCTCTCTCCTCTCGCTCTCTCTCTCTCTCTCTCTTGCCCTTGTGGTGCAATACAACACAGATGTGACCACACACCGTGCCTCCAAGACCCAACAAACATAAATCTGTCTCTATCACATAATATATGTATACATATATGTTCAAATGGTTAGCAATTTTCAGTAACAATCACACACACACACACACGTACGTGTCCGCAAAAACAGAGGAAGAGGAATGAGAGATGAGCAGCAGAGAGATGAAAGGTTAAGTGGCACTGTGTGAGAAAGAGAGATAGAGAGAGAGAGAGAGAGAAATGCATCAGTTTTGACATGAGAGAATAATATAAAAAGATCAGAAGAACTTGGAGAAGAGAGTCGAAACCGTTTTGTGGATTCTCGGATGCAAGGTGGGGGAGGGGTGTGGTGGAAGGGAGATGCATCCGTTCTAATAGACAGACGGACCAGGTCAGAGAGGGAGAAATGCATCCATTTGAACAACACGAAGAACCAGTTCCGATAGTTCTGCAATATGCACTCTTGAGCAAACCATTTTGAGCATGCAATTCATAAGCAGAGAGCACTTTGGATAGCATAAACACACAACAAAAACAAGAGTTTTCATTAACCAAAAAATTCCAGGCGAATTTCCAAATATACTCAATCCCTATGACCCAACTACCTTTTATTCACCAAAGCATCTCATCTCATCCCTCCTTTCACCACATTTCCCTAGAATTGATCTTTACCCACTAAATGCCTGAACAGTTTCTAAAGTTTTCTTACCATTACTTCTCTCAATCTGCTTCTCTTCATTTATTCTCCCTCTTCGTTGTTTCTCTTCACATGTCAGTCTTTATCTATTTCTCTTCATATTGACCTGTGTATGCTAGACCAACTCGGGACTCACTATCGATTCGGGACCAAAAAACCGAGAACCACCAGAGTCTCCTGCTGATTTTTCATAGTGATTAAATTTTTTCATATAACAAGTTGTGTAGTCTAAGTCTGGCCAAGGGGACTTGGGCTTGGACCCCAGGTTAGTTGGAGCCTGAGTCCGATTTCTCAAACATTGATTAACCTCTCGCCGAGGTCCATCTTATCAAAGCCCAAGATAGTAGAACTAAGTATCCCACAATTATCATTACTTCCTTTTCTACAGAGCAAGCTACCCATATAAACATGCAGAATTCATTTGTATTCTCTGTGTAAAAAGGAATCACATTCCATTATCCACCAAATTCAAAGAACAGTCTATCAAACACTTTACACAGATGCTAATCCCATTCTCACTCGCAAAAGAAGTCGAATCAAGTTGGTTCAATTAATCAGTAAGAATTTGTCTTAGAAAGAGAGGGAATAAGATACAGAATCCTGATATCATAGAGAGAAAGGCAAAGTGGGGTCTCAGTAGCTAGTGAAGGCTTGTTAATCCTCTGACTCACACTCTTAGGAATTGAAGAATCCAATAATGGTTTGATTAATTATCATATATATGTTACATGGATCTCAACTTTAGGAATTGAAGAATCCCACCATGGGTTGATTATTATCATATACATTACATGGATCTCAACTTTATGGAACCCATATCTAATCGAGTATGCGATCCAACTAAGGAAAAACCTCTTGTGGAAAAATTCTATACATCTGCCGTTTCTCAATGCATTTATCATTTAGACAAAGATTCCATTTTTTCCGCTTTCCGGATAGTAAATATGTTCTGGAATATGGAGTGTGAATCAAACCCATGTTTGAATTGAAACTCAGATATTAATTCAAGTTCTACCCTTCTACCCATGACTGAATGATGTATCAAGAAAATATTCAGCATTGGTGTTCATGTATGAGATATCCCTTTCCTTTTTTTTTCTTTTGTCGATTTCTAAAAGTTGAGATCTCTTTACTTTGTGTCACCTAGAAGACACTAGTCCATCAGGTTGGATTCAATGTTTAGTAACTGATGTATACAACATTGATCATTGATTTCTGTCTCCCCCTCATCTGCAAATTTCTCATTGGTTTACTTTTAATTATTATTGCAAAATTATGTTTTTCAGTCATTTGATTTCTGATTGCTTTTCTTCTAATTATTATTGCAAAATTATGTTTTTCAGGCATTTGTGCCCCAAATTGTTTATCACAGGAGAATTATTGTTTGGAGATTTATCGGGATATTATCGTGTTGCGTTTTTTATTATGGACTTAAGGAATACGTGCTAGGACTTTAAAATATCATAGTAATGTGTCATTTACTATGAAAATGTTAAACATTTCCTAACTGATAAAGTTGACAGTAATTTCTCATATAACTTGCACATTCACCATCCATTCCTTGCAAATTGCTCGCAGTCTGCAAATTTTAGAGCTATTTTTTACGTAATGACACATTTCTTCTCAAATTCAAATTGATGAATTTTGCTTTTAGATTAGATACATGGTATTATCAGGAAAGTTTTTTCTAAGACAATGCCTTAAATCACAATAAAATTAAATCGATTTTACAGAGATATTATCGGAGTTATTATTTGACATTAGAACTGCGATAAAATAAAGATAAGTTCGATTCATCATAAATAATTGCCAGTAAGGTCAGAAAAACTAATTTTCATAAAAGCAAGAAAAGAAACAAGTGATGAAAAAAAAAAAAATTTAATAAAATGCATAAAACATATGGAATCATATCACGAAATAAATTCAGAGTTAATTTTAATGAAGAAAACTAAATTTCATTATAAAAGAAAACACAGAAAACCTATGTTCTACATCATTTCCATGCCCACTTCAAAGTCACCATCCTCAACTAAAAATCCATAGATTAATAAGCAATGGGGCAAAACCCACAGAAAACCTCTACCCATTATAGAGCATAAACCACGACCTTCTCCTGAAAACCTAAAATTCCTTTCCTCACATAAATCAAGACTAAACCAAACAAAAACTAACATAAAAAAAAGCAAAAAATACCAAAAGACCCATAAAAATGAAAACTCACTTACAAGCCGACTGGCTTTCTCTAATCTCCTCTTCCTCTTCAATCAATTTCTCCTTTAATGTATCCTTCTCTTGATCTTGAGCTTTTTGTGAACCAGTCAATCTAGCAAGCATCACAAATGTAACTCCCCCCAAAACATTATTCAAGCACCTCAAAAGCACAACACTGGCCTTGAAACCGGCAGGCGGAAGCCCTTTTGCCAACAAAAACTCAACTCCATTAAGGGTCTGATACCTAAAATTACTGCTAAACCCCATATGGAGAGCCCACGTATAAGCATTTAACAAAGTGGGTGGTGGCTTATTTGGGGTCTCAAAATTTGGGTCCATTTTCTTCCTCGCTGAAATCAAGCCATTGGACAGGGTAGTCCCAACCAATCCGGCCACAAATCCGACAGCCGAGAACACAAATCCTTTGTAAACAAAGGTACCCATTCTTGACAAGAGGCCAAAGCCGCCTGGTTCGAACATATGGCTTGGTGGGCAAGAGGAAAACAGCCCGGGAAGAGCTTGAGAGCTAGAGAGAGAAGATGGGGCCAAAAGATACATAAGAGTGAAGTTCAGGATCGACCCAACAACCAGAGTCGAGAACACTAAATCGAGCTCGTTGAGGCCGAAGTTGGGTCGAGAAGCCATGTCTCCAAGGACACAGGCTGAGACACCAACAAGCTCCTCCATCAAAACTTTGAAGGGGAACTGAGGATCTGCCTCTACTCTGCATTTCCAGCCATGGAGGAAGAGAGATAACAGCCCTTTTGGCTTGGGATCAGGGTTTTCAGAGAAATGGTGATCGTGGTCACCTGGGTTTTGGCCGCCACCGCCACCTCCATTGCCGGAAAATCGAGGGGGGTCCCCGGAATCGCCGCCTGCTAATGTGGGCTCCTGAGAAGATCTAGAGAGGGAAAGTGAGATGTGGCCGGTAGGTCTAGAGAGAGAAAAGGAGTAAGGTTTAGAGAGAGAAAGTGGGAGGCGAGGGATCGGGGTGGAGGGGAAATGGTGCGGGGTGGAGGTGGAGCAGCGGAGCTGAGCCATGGTGGTGGCGTCAGATCCTCCGGTGAAAAGCAAGGTTTGTTTTAGAGAGAGAAAGTAAGAGAGAGAGTGTGTGTAAATGGGGATCTAAGGTGGTTTTGAATAGTTTTATAGTGCTCGCGGAACGTGTCGTGGGGCGTGTTGAGATTCTTATTTTGGTTTTTTGGGTGGGAGGAGAGAGAAAGTTTTGTTATTAAAACTGACTAAAATAGCCCCAGCTCTTTAAGGGATTTATCTCTCTCTAAACAAAAATTACCCCTTTCTGCAAGCTTCTCTCTCTAAAAAAAATTACCCCTTTCTGCAATCTCTCTCTCTCTAAAAAATGGTTTCTAATGGGAGGAGAGAGAAAACCTTGTTACCAAAAAGATGACTAAAATACACCCTAAGATTGTTAAGCTCTCTCTCTCTCTAAAAAAAATCACCTCTTTCTTCACGCTTTTTCTCTCTAAAAAAAAATGGCCTCTTTCTATAAATTAAAAAAAAGAAAAAAAAACTACTCTCTTTCAAAGTAGTCTTTTCCTCACCAAAAATAATATTTTCCTCACCAAAAATAATATTTTCCTCACGAAACAAGAGTGTACAAGGGGTGGCAATGGGTTTGGGTCCGAGTCCGGACCCGAACAAAAAATATAGTGTGGCCTCAAACTCAAATCCAAACTGAAACCTGAACTTGAACAGTGTTCGGGTCTAAAATTTGGACTCGGACTCAACCTGTGGGGTTCAATTTTTAAACCCATACCTAAACTCGGATTAAGTCTACCCTTCGGGTCCTCGGTCACATCTGGGTCCATTACCACCCATTGAGATAGAACATATTGCCCCTACTCACTCTAGAATTTAGTCAATAGAAGATGACTCCTCTTTAGCAAAACAAGAAGAAAAAACTTAAATTGAACCCTAGGTCTTGTGCACCTAATCTCTCCATAATTTATAACTTTGATGTTGTAAAATCTTCAAATTACGCATCTACTTCTTGACTACTATGGAGGTGAGTAAAAACAAAGGATTTTAAGCTTTAAAAATGTTGTATTTTATAATGCGTTGTCTCGTCTATTTTTAAGTCTCCACAAATATGTAAGTTCCATATTATTTTTAAGAACATCAAATATCACAATCAGAGGTATAAATAGATTTTTGAGCTATTATATTTTTAAGTGTCCACAAATCTACAATAAAATCTTCAAATTAATCATCTACTTATTGATTACTGTGGAGATGAGAAAAAAAAATAGGATTTTAAGCTTTAAAAATACTGTATATTATAATGTGTTATCTAGATCGTTTATTTTTAAATGTCTATAAATCTGCTAGATCCACACTATTTTTAAGAACATTAAATATCACAATCAGATGTAGAAATAGATTTTTGAGCTATTATATTTTTAAATGTCCACAGAAAGATCTTCACTACTTTTAAAAGAACATTAAATATCACAATCAAATGTGGAAATATATTTCTTAGCTGCTACAAGGATTTGCATATTGTAACTGCATTTTTCAATAAGATTTTATGTTTTGTCAATAAGGCCTAGGCTTTATAGAAACTGTGTTTGTAAAAGAAAAGGCAAGTTTCCTCTTATTACCTTCCCCCGTATTTCTCTTTCATCTTTTTTCTATGCTAAGTCTATAATTGTGTCGGGTGGGATCCGAGTCGACTACGATTGCTATTTATTGAGGTGAGATTCATGCATATCGTGTTGATGCAGACCAAGACCCGACCCAAACCTTGAACGAATCTAAATTGGGGCATGATTCGAACCCGATCCATTGGATCAAATAATCAAACAAACATAAACTTTTAGTTCCAAAACTTACTGACCAACTTTCAACCCAACCCAATTACCATCCTTCTTAGAGATCTACTTCTTTGGTTTTTAAGACGTGGTATTCTGATGAAAGATATGGCCGATAATTGGTTAAAAAGATAAAGGGGGTGGAATAGATATTTGGAACTAATTCAAGGGTAAAGTAGTAATCGTAGCATTTGTGGGTTCGTGGTATTTGTATTGTTGGAAAACACGTGTAATTTAATGCACAAATAAGTTGTGTGAATCGCAGCCTTTGGCTGCATCCGGATTTCATTTTGGTAGGAAGGAGAGAGAGAAACCGTCTCTTTCTATTTTGGAAAAAGTTCATAGAAGGCGGCACGAATCTAGGGAAGCATGTTCCGTGGCCGTAGACCCGACCCGGGCCATGTATAGGTTTACAAATTGGACCCGGTGGGTTAGGTCTAAGTCCAAGTCCAAATTTTGGACTTGAAGACTATTCGGATTTGGGTTCAGGTTTGGTAATATTTTTTCTAGTCCCAATATATGAAATATATTTAAATGTAATTAAATACGTAGATATTTTAATTTTTTGAGTCGAGTGAATAGGTCTGGTTAGGGTTTGGGTCCAGGTCCATATTATGTTTTTGGGTCTTGGTCCAAGTCCCATATCATTTTTTTAGGTCCAGGTCCATCAGGTCTGGGTCAGGTCTCCTATCATTTTCTTAGGTCTAGGTCCAGCAGGTCTGGGTCAGGTCTCATATCATTTTGTCGGGTCTAAGTTCGAGTCCGACTGGACCTAGACCCAACCCGTTGCTACCTTTATAAGAATTTTCGATTATTTGAGGTCGGTTACATGAATCTAGATCTATCATCCTGCTATATCAAAGCCCATACCCAAATGTAGAATTAAAATGTACCTCAAAAATCCATTTTGACATCAAATAGCTATAAATTATTGACCCCTTCATCTAATAGAGATGAATGGTCTCATAGTAAACAAACCCTTTATTTGGAGGGCATCTAATAGAGATGAATGGTCTCATAGTACACAAACCCTTTATTTGGAGGGCAGTAAGAGTGAGAAATTTGCACTTCAGATTGCTCTCGTACTAGACAATGAGAAAGGGCCATTTTCAATTCTCTCTCTCTTTATCTATTTGTGCTGCTTTCGCTTGCTTGTAAGCATGGGGTGGCTATGAGGCGGCTAGACCATGTCAACATTAGGGTTGTTAATGGGTTGGGCCAGAAAAATAAATTTTGGGCCTAGTCCATTATCTTACCTAGGAAGCCCAAACCCGAAAAATAGGGCCACGGATTTTATACATGTAGGAAAAGTTTTCATTTTAAAGCTAATGAAAAACTTCGGGCTTGGCGTGAATTAGGTATGGGCTCGTAGGAGCTTGGTACAAGAAATACACCGGGCTTAATAAAGCCCGGCCCGAATTGGGCTGGCCAGAACCCAACCCAAACTAAAACTGGTTCGAAAGCCTATATATCGCCCTTACCCATTAACACCCTAGTCAGTCGTTTTGGGCCTTTTTTTTACATTTAGGGGCGTTTGGGAATCTATTACGTACACCATAGTGATGAAATCCATGTTTAATGAGTTCATCAAACTGCTACGCTCTTCTTTTACCAAAAAAAATCCTCTATCTCCTGTCATAATCTAACTGCTACGCTCTTCTCTTGCCAAAAAATATCCTCTATCTCTCGTCATTTTCCCTCTCTCTGGTTCACATCCTCTCTTACTCTACTGTACACATCTATTTCTATTTTCTCTCCTTAAATTTCAATTGTGAAATCTATTACGCATAGCATAGCGAAATCCATGCTTAATGGGTAATATAAGCTCTTCTATTCCTATTTTCTCTCCTTAAACTCCATTTGTGAAGTAAAAAAATATCCTCTATCTCTCATCATTCTCCTCTCTCTGGTTCACATCTTCGCCTACTCTACTGTGGACATCTATTTCTATTTTCTCTCCTTAAGTTTCACTTGTGAAATCTATTACGCCTAGCATATCGAAATCCATGCTTAATGGGTAATATAAGCTCTTCTCTTGCCAAAAAAATCCTCTCCTGCCCTTCTCCCTCTCTCCTATGAACATCCATTCTTCCATCATTCTCCTTCTCTCCTATCACTCTCTTCTTCCCATGTTGTGCGTATATCCATTTCTATATTCTTATACATCCATTTCTATATCCTCTATGCACATGTTGTGCATATCCATTTCTATATTCTCCTACACACATCCATTTTTTACCTCCCTCTATCCTAATTTGGGTATCCTAATTTGGGTTGTAGACCTCATCTGAACGTAAGTCAATTTGGGTATCCTAATTTGGGGTGTAGACCTCATCTGAACGTAAGTCTTTTGATAAAAAATGATTTTTTGATAAATTATGTTTTATAATGATTTTTTGATAAATTATATTTGATAAATTATAATGATTACGAAATCTTTTGAAAAAAAATAAGATATTTTTGGGATTAAGGTTTAGATCGAGACAAAAAAAGTGATAAAAATATATTTTATTTAAATTATAATGGTTACTCTTTTGAAAAACAAAAAGATTTTTTGGGATTACAGTTTAGATACAGATAAATAAGTAATAAATTACTTACAATATATTAGTTGTATTTTTGTTTTCACATTGACGTCCTCCAATATCTTAATCTAATTTTTTAAATATTTTACCATTTCACAATAAATGTTTTTTAAAATACATCACCATTTACTATTTAAACTATAAATTAACCTTATTTAAAGGTTATGACTAAAAGAGTTCACTCAATGTTTATGACAAATATTAATTCACTCTATTAAGTTATTATTCTTTGAGACATGACAAACAGGGTATAGTCATGCTATCTATACATATGCATTTCAATATTAAATGGGAATCTCTACAAAAAGACCAGTTATCTTTTGTGAATGGAGGTCACAATCATTCTCAAATATTAGATGTCAAATTGAATGGCTTGAGGTGAGTCATGAAGTGAATTTTGTTTTTTGAAATTTTATATTTATTCAATGACACTAGTACAACACCTATTTTGGAATGGTGTGATGATGACTTTAATTCCACATTTGAGCAGAATTTTGTAACAAAAAAGAAAGAAGTGATAATTTATAGGCAAGTGTGGGTAAAATGTTGGTAATGCATGTCCCATATTTCTTCTAGACATAGCCTAGTAATGTATTTCCCAGGTTGCAATCCATTTACAGGTAATATATTATGCAGTAATATATTATGCCAGTAATAGATTTCACAGACAATATATTTTCAGCTATCCAAACAACCCCTTAAGATTGGGTTGTATGAAGCTGAAT